CGGGAGAGCTAAGAACTGTATAAGAATCGCGAGGGAGAGGGTGGAGAAGGCGCTGCAGTACTCGTACAGAGACCGCCGGAACAAGAAGCGCGACATGCGCTCGCTATGGATCGAGCGCATCAACGCCGGCACTCGTCAGCACGGGGTACTCTTTTTATTTTCATTTATTTCATCAGCTCATTCGATTTCCCGTTTTGGTTTGTTCTCATCGATTTATGGAAATAAATAATAATCATGCATGCTTTTTTTTTTTCGGATTTATGTGTGTTTCTTGACTGATTTAATTGTTTTAAAAGTAATTATGTGTGTGTGTTTCTTGAAGTAATTTGTTGTATCTGAGAGGTATAGAGAGAATGTGACATTATGAGAATGAGTATTGATTGATGTTGAACCGAATTGATAAAGTATGTGTGATTGTGAAGGAGGTAAGATGATCCGACCCGACCCCACTTGTAGCTTTGTCTGTTTCCATTGATTGAGGAAACTTGTGCCGGTTTCCATCGATCAAGGAAAAGTGATAGTTTTGACTTTTTTTTTTATTGGTTTTGATTTATGTGTGTTTCTTGACTGGTTTCACTATTTTTATATGTCTATCTGTTGGCTTGGAATAGTGATTCTCTTGGTTTAGGACTAACATTGGGTTTCCATGAGTTTGCTTGAAGCCCTGCCAGCAAGTAAGCGTGCTAGATCTATTTAAGTTTAAGTTCAAGTACCTGGAATTCGGTAATTTGTCGTATGTGAGATGTAAAGAGAGAGTGTGGCGTAATGAGACTGAATATAGATTGAAGGGGATCAGAAAAGGTAAAAGGTGTGCTATTGTGAAGAAGATGAGATGAAAGAATTTGAGTTTTAGTTTCGTGGATTGGATAGTTGTTGTCTTGCAATGGGTAATAACAGTACAAAGTCCCGTCTGAATAAAATATCCATGGGACCATAATTTTTTTCTTTGTTGCATTTAATTTAGCTTGATGTGTGTGGTAAAGTTCTCGTAATTTGGGGATGCTTTGATTGAATATTCTCAAACATATAGAAACCATTTGAGTAGATGCTGACTAATAACTTCGGGAGAGTAAAACTGTAAAAGAGAAGAACCAGACCAGTTGTGTGGGATTTTCTATGCCTTTCTTCTTTACTACTTATTTTGAGCAACATTTTGTTTTCCATCCTGGCACGTAAAGGTTTCATAATATTCAGTTGTTTTCATCTTCAATCTTCTCAGAAGCTGGAATGTATAGACTTTAATCTTAATCTATGTAGAGTTTTGAAGCTGTTGCAATCAGAAGTCAGCACTGAATGTTGCTTATATTTATAATAAACAGGTGAACTATGGAAATTTCATGCATGGATTGGTGAAGGAGAATATTCAGCTGAACAGGAAAGTTTTGTCCGAGATATCAATGCACGAGCCGTACAGTTTCAAGGCCTTAGTTGACATCTCGCGCAGTGCCTTCCCTGGAAATAAGGCGAGCGCATCTTCCAAAAAGGTCGGCTTAGCATCTCTCGTTTAAATGGTGGCCATCTGTGCGTAGTGTGATATTGATCTTTATTCGGTCATTCTTTTTTTCCTCAATGTAATTGCAGAAGCAAAGCCGAAATAGATGATACTGCGAAATGTTTATCGAGTATACATTTCTATGCATAAATTTCTATTTCAGCCAGATGCAATTTCATCTTGCAAGTCTCTCTCTTTTTGTTTTGTTTTTGTTTTTTTCTTTTTATGTGTGAAAGAAATCTCAAAATCATGAAAAGGAAAAGTGAAAGTAAGTGAAGAGGTAACGGCCATGGAATTGGTGACCCTATAGAATTGGTTTTAAGAAGTGCTTTAGATTCCTCAGTTCGCGGTGAACAAGAACAACGGTGCAGTTTGGTGCTAAAACTCAGCGAACCATGAAAAAAAAAAGTAACTGAACACCCACTGGGATTTTGGGAAAAAAAGCAAATTGGCTCGTTTTTTTGGTTTTGTCTTGATTTCTCTTTTCAATTATATTTAATTTGGTGCGGTTATGTGAGATTTACTAAACCGAACAAAATCAAACTTGAGAGAAATAATAACCAAACCGCACCACCATAGTGCAGGAAAAAATAAAACCGAAATCGAACCAAAACTTTTTCACGTTAGAAAAAGCAAATTCTTTTGCACTGATTTGCACGGTTCGGTTCGATTTTGCTCACACTGCCGCTTAAAACGTTGGGTTCAATCACTAGTTTGAAGTGTGGGCTGAGGCCCATGGGCTTAAGCCCGACTTCGTATACTTTTATGTATGGGAAAGAAGTCAGCCCATCAAACTAGCGCAAGGAGAAAATTTACAGTGAGCATGATATCGGTTCTTTTCGAGTTTGAAAACAACACGATTTAGTCGTGCTACTGTCCATGCAATGTCCGGAGTTGTTCATATCGTTTTACTGTCCACTGTCAAAATATGATATGTATTGGTGGGCTGTTTTGTTTTGTATACATGGTTCTTCACTTCTTTTAGAATAATATTTTTTTTTTTTCAACGATTAACTGAAATATTCATTTTTTTTTTCTTGCAATCTAATCAGATGAGAAATTAATGAAAAACCACTTACCAAATCATATCATTTCCAAATCATATCATTGTAATATATATCCTAGTATCTTATAAATTCCTGATACTCAACCTATATTAGAGCAGGGTAAAATCAACCATCAAACCATAATAATGCAACTTAATTGACATCATTATTTTTTCGCTTGGTAAGATAAGCTCACACTAGAAATCTGAAAACCTGCTGAGTTCCCCTACAAAAACCTAAAACTGAATGTACACATCTTTCAAACGATTGAACGATGGGAAAAACTCACATTCGAGCTGCATCTTGAGATGGCACTTTCTCTGCACTTTCGTTTTCAGTGTTCAGGTTAATGTGCTCCTGTGACTTACCGTTTGATTCCATCTCTTTTTTCTGGTTATCGTTCTTCTTCTGGAAACGCCCACCCATGCCCCTAGCCCTTCTGACTGCGTGCAGATGCCGAGATTCATGCAAATACGGCTGCAAAATTGATCAACAATAAGTAGAATTCAAATAAATGTTTTGTTAAGAGAAAGATGCTTTGCAATTAGGGCTGTAAACGAGCCGATCTTGAGCTTTAACGAGTCGAACTATTGAAAATCATATAAAAAAAATCTCTTTTTGTTCCGTTAGGAGCAGCTCGTTTCGTTTAACAGCTCTAATTGCAATGCACGTCTTATGACTTGGACTTCCGAATGAACGCCATCACGGCACCAGAATTTGACTCATCATTACATGTTATAATGCAGCAAAAGTGGCAGGTCAATAGTCAATACAAAACTAGAGTCTGAATGAGTCAAATAATTAAATCAAGGCTGGAACCCATTATGTCTGGAATTGCAAAAAAGTCCCCTCGGCATTTGTTCCTCTTTCACAAACTTCACCCATAAGAAGGGGATGATTAAAGTATATACATATCTGAAAGGGCAATATATAGTTTTGGGAGTCAACCAGTGTACTTTCGTAATTGTTATAAATGATGAGAGTAGTATTTGTTATTACTCCTAAAAATGAGTTCGGATAACAAATACAGAAATTATAAAAAGAAAAAAATAATAATTAAAAAAAAACAGGCATTGCTAGTACCTTTCTGGATTTGGCAAGTTTATTTTCTGACTCGGCCTTTGCACGAGACTGTCGACGCCTTAAGATGCCGTGATACTGTTTTGCATTGACAAAGACAGGCTCCTCAACTGTTTCTGAAGGGAGAGGAACACCAGCTTGTTGAATACCCATCAACTGCATGTGTACCTGAATTAGGGAAAAATATTTAAAGAACTCAAAACTTCAAGGAGAGTCTCATCACGATAACAGGAACGGCATAAAGAAGTACCATTGGCTGGCCAGGATAAGATTGCGCGGGATAAGGCTGTGTGTCATAAGGCGCGAATATACTTCTGTAGTAAGGGTCTGGGTACGGGTAAGCTGCTTGTCCCTGAAAGAAACAAAATTTCATGTAAAATGGTGAACCAGCAATTGTGAATCCATACAAATAAACTCAAATCTCAAAATATTACTGCAATTTCAAGGAACTGAAATTACAACTCGAATATTTTATTCATACATCACTAGTAACTCCATCAATGCTAATTGCTACATAATACCAACTTTTTCTACTTCTAAAGTAAACTGTTTTTATTTCTCAATAGAATCTTGGCGTGGGTTCTCATTCAGGAAGCCAATCAAGACAATAAAGCAGCAGAAATACATAAGGAACTAACTGGAAACTTAATTTTATACGATTATGTTTGTAAAAAACAGAGGACACTGCAATCAGATTCGCAAGTTTGTCATTGTTACTTTACACACACACACACACACACAACTTGATATAATACCATTACATTTCCAACTCCATATTGAGCAGGGGTCCCATAGTGCATTGCTGGTGATGGAATACCATGATGAGAAATACCATTAGCTGGAGATGAAGGCTGGAAGTTAGTCTCCGGGTGGTTTTGTTGCTCATCGGCCTCACTATTATCTGGCAATAATTGTCATGAAATACTATAAACATACTGAACAAGGGAATCAAAGAAAAATTAATGACAATACGAAGGTGTAAACGTAAAATTGTCAAATTCTAGGTAAACACTACTGATCAAAATTTCAACTTACAACTGACATACTCCCAAGTTTTTTTTTTTTGGT